CATCGTTGTTGTACTCATAATTATTTTCGGCGTCAGCTATGTCATCTTTTCCACCATCACCAGCAACCTCACTTTCAACATCATCACCATCCTCATTATCACCATCATAGTCACTATTATCGTCATCATCATCTTTGTCATTATCGTCTTTGTCATCATCATCATTACCATCATCATCATCATCGTCTTCGTCCTCATCACCTCATTTTAATCATCGTCCTTTTATCGCCATTTTATTCCTCCTTTTCATCATCATCATTTTGGTTGCCATTCACTGCAGTTCGTTCCATTGTTGTCACCGTCATCATCATCATAATCCTCATCCTCTTCTTCCTCAGCCTCTCCACCACCATCATCATCATTTTTCCATTTTACGCATTTAGTTAGCCTTGCTGGTCATCATCAATTATCATCATTATCGTCGTCCAATCACCATCACCGTGATCACCACTACGAACAACATCATAACCATCACATCGTCATCATCATCATTATCATCATATTATCATCATCATCATCACCATCATCATCATCATCTCATTATCACCATCATCATCATCATCATCGTCATCATCATCATCGTTTCAAGTGTGGCGTAACGTTATGTTATGTTTAGCGTGATCAGATCTCTCTCGAGACCACCATGAATGAGGTGAGAACGTGAGGAAGGAAGAGAGAGAGCGAGAGAAAGAGGTAGAAAAAAAGAGAAAGAAAGAAAAAGAAGGAGAGAAGGATTACATTGAGATTAAAAAAATCATTTCTGCAAAATTATGTCATCAATTATTCAACGATATTATTTTATTACGACTCTTATTTTCAAAAAAAGTAAACCCTTGTTGCAAGCATAAATGTTAATTTCCACATTAATCACAGTCTTATTTTTATTAATTAAGTTTTTAATAAATTAATCATTTTAAATGGAACTCTGATGTATATTAGCTTTTTTAATCTTGCATTAAACTGCCTTACTGCAAAATTTTGTCCCAAAAAATTTCACTTACATACAAAATAATCACTTTTTTAATTGCCTAATAATAATGATAAAATGAAATTTCAGAAAATAATTTTGACATAATAATCTATAAAATAACGCATTTTTTTTATAATATAATAATAACAATGGAATTTTTATTTGTTATATTAATTTTAAAACATCCGGTTTAAAAATTTCGATTCTCAAGAAATGCTATGATTTTTTTGGAAGGCTTTTAAGATGAAACAACAATCTGCTCTTTGAATGTTTAATGAAGTCAAATTTTATTTGATTTTTTCAGAAACAGCAAAAAAATCTTAAATATTTCCACCTTACATACTTTTTTTTTAAATCAGAGAAAATGGGATTAATTAATTATGTATAGGATTGTTTATGAAAGACATCCTCAGCGTAATCCCTTGTTTGTGATAATGTTGGAAGAGTTCCTTCACGTATCTCCAGTTTTAAAATGAATGACGTTTCGAAAGATTATAAATGATTTTCTTCGATATTTTCTTTTAAAAAATCCATATTTTACGTTGTTTAAATCCATTTAGGGTTTGTTATATAAGCCTTATCAAATTTGAAAATTATTCTATAATTATCATATATTTAACAGACTGAAATTAAAAATCTTTAATAAATAAAAAACATTGACAAAAATAGTTTTAGAATTAAAATTTTTCAACAATCTCTGTGTAACGAGATCAAGAAAAAAATCTAGCAACATGTCGCAAATAAGTGGCTTCATTTAATGAATCCAAGTGTGGATTCTTCACGCGAACCTTGAAAAAAAAATTTTTTTTATTTCTTTAATAAAAATAAAGTTCATTTTATTACTTTTTAGTATTATATTCTTTTTTTTTGTTGTATCAATGTTAAATCTTGAAGCAGAACCTTCCAGTCCATAAATTGTGTTTTTCCACTCCTCATTGTCACCCATCGCAAGATAAAATAAAATTTAATTTCATATTCAGAATCTCAAATATCAAAGTTTACAATCAAGGAGAAAATCTATAATGAATCAAATTTGTTACATCTATCTCTAGCCTGAATCTTTATATTAGGGAGTCTTAGCCCTGAAACCCGATACACATCTGGTTAAACCAAAATATGAAATAAAGAATTCGTCCCCTTGTAATTCCAGTAACACTAAAAATGATTGCGACTAACTCCAAGTTTTGAATTGATAAGTAGAGCAAATTTTAAACATTAATGCAATTTAACATTGTAAATTGAGTTTTTTTCAGAATTGAAGTATAGCAATATGTTAATTTGTGTGAGTACTTGCCCACAAATTAAGAAATGAATGTACGTGCAGTACATATACAATACATACATCGGATGATCAATTGATAATTAGATGAAAATGTTTTGACAAACACGCATTAATAAACAAGATTCTTTCAGTTCGGATGATTTATTTCCTGACCTCTCTACATTGGTTGAGCCCACAAATCCTCACCGATGTATATGAAATAGAAGAATGTGCGTATAGTGAGATATGACATAAGGATAGAGATATGACATCAGAAAGATGATATAGAAGAATGTAGGTCAAGAGAGAGAGAGAAAGAGAGAGAGAGAGAGAAAGAGAGAGAAAGAAAGAGAAAGGAGATAAAAAGAAAGAGATAGAAAGAGAGAGAGAGAGAGAGAGACGCACACAGAGGTTTTGAGATGAGGACCGTATGAGATTTATGGTGATAACAAATTATATCTCTGTTATTTGAACCAAAGCCGATTTTTGAAAAGATTACAATTTTTCAATTTTTCAGTTATATCATGACAATTAGAATCAACATTATCATAAATACGAGAAACAACAATAAAAACAATTATTTTGAAAATACTAAATTATAGCAATAAATAATAATAATAATAATAAATAGCAACAATAACGGACATTGCACGCAAGCAGATAGAATGTAACGGAAAGCTTGTTTAAATGAAAAATATCATGTTGATGTGATGAGACGATATATGGCGTGACATCATGTTGCGATGTCATTTGATGTCATCTAGGACAATAGGATACAGTGTAATGGTATAGTATAGTTATGTTTAATTATGAGATGTAAGGATGTGAAGTTATAAAACAGTGTACATATAATGTGATGTGATGTTATCAAATTACATTTGATGCAATCTGATGACATGATGCAATGATGTAATGTGATGGGTACACAATAACTGCGTTGACTTGATGTATTGATGCAATGTGTGTATGATAACATGACTCTGCGACAGCAATGTAATGTGATGTAATGTGACGACAATGTTTATAGGGTGTGAAGCAAAATTATACATTTGTTTTTATAAAATGTAGAATCTAGGCAGACTTATTTATATTTAAATCCATATAATTTAATAAACTTTGCATTTACTTTAAAGTTTTGTTAAATAGTTTGAAATTATATAGAGTGAACATTAGGCAAAACTTCAAATTAATGTTTCATAAATTGAGTTAAATTCAAGACGTAGAAAGTTGAGAGAAAAAAAGTTGGAAATAAAAATGGTTTGAGTGAGGCAAAGAAGAAATGACTGGATGAATGAAATGTGAGGTGGTCGGTTGAAGAAGAGTGCTGGCGTGGTTTTATGACGTCATGAACGAGCCTCCTGTGAACGTGAAAAAAATTAGAGATAACAGATGGACTGGCCGTCGGGTGATGGTGAACGAGTGCATGTGTACTTTTTCACTCAAGTGCATGTCTACTTTGGTACATACACACGTCTATATATAGCTGTCTATGTATTTCTTAGCACAAAACTACTTGAATACATACACATACGTTTGTATATATCAATAGCTGAATTAGAGTAACATTTTCCCTTAAATCTACTCAGCTCTGTCACATAACTATGCACACTCGTTTATAACCGACAGGTGTTCTATTAATATTTCATTGATATATTAATTAATTTCACATACTTATATATTTTGTACGGAAAACAGTAAACATCTTTGTTAAAAAATACATTCAAATACCTTCAAACAAACGATATTTGGGTTGATTAAACATTTCTTTACATTTTTAAATAAAAAAAATGTTGATGATTTGTTATTTTCTTGAGGTTAAATTTTTGACTGCTTATGCATACTTTCGTACACTGAAGTCAGCTTTTTTGGTACCTCTCTTTCCATTATGAAAAAGAATTTGTGATTAAGTACTGCTTTGTTACTGGTGTGGGAATGGTAGCTAAGTAACAAAATGATAAGGTAACAAAAGTAACAAAATGATAAGATAACAAAAGTTATAATAGAAACAAATGATTCATTACTAAAGCAAAACAATATTCAAATGAACAAGTACCCAACCGACTGAGTACGAAAGCGAATAATTACTGAAATAGTAAAATACCCAAATGATTAAATAACATAGTACTGAAATGATGGAGTAGCGAAGTAACATAGTAATCACGGACCAATAACGTCTTTATGGTAGGCGAAATAATCTTAAAAGTTCTTTGAATGAATGTAGTTGAGTGGTGGAGCTGAAGGTTAATAGTGCCACTGGGAGGTTGTGTGATGTTGCTTGTGTTGTTGTTGCTTGTATTGTTGGTGTTGTTGTTGTTGTTAGTGTTGTTGTTGTTAGTGTTGTTGTTGTTATTGTTGTTGTTGTTGTTAGTGTTGTTGTTGTTACTTGTGTTGTTGTTTATGTTTTAGATGTTATTGTTGTTAATGTATTGTTGTTGTTGTCATTGTTGTTGTTGTCAAATTGTAACGCAAAATTTTTCACAAAACCAGCAATAAGGTAAACTAATCAAACAGCAGAACGCTAAATACAATCCAATGCACTTCTATTATATATGTATCTTGAGGCAGTCACCTGCAAGAAGAATTCTGGCCTGCGAATACAATAATGTTTGAACAGCGTCGTTAATTAATGCCATCTACTAATAGCAACAAAATGAAACAAAATCAAACACATGTAACACAATCCTAACACAAAGCAGCCTAATGTGGCACATTACGTTTGATGATATACCGGCGTTAAAATCTACGCATTGACCACGTGACGACCACGTGATGATCACGTGGAAGCAAAACAACTACACAGACACAAAGCAGAAGGCCATTTTTATTTTGCAAAACTACAAGACTCCTAAACAAAAGCAATGCGTATCGCAAGCGTGGGAAGTTATTTTAATTTTTACCTGTAAATTTCAAGAAACATCACACTCGTAAATATATATGTTATTTATGGCGGGAATATCTCTTTGAAGAAAACAATGCTAATAACAAAACAACAACAATAATAATAATAACACAGTAATAATAAGAAAAATAAGAAAAGTTATAATTACAACAAAAATGATACCTCAAAGAACCCACCATAAAATATAGCGACATTTATGAGTGTGAAAATTAAAATTTAATTTATTACTTCTAGTCGTAAATAACGACAACCAAAAGAACAACGAAAATAATAATGATAACTATAAATGATAATAATAATAATAATAATATTATTATTATTTTTTATGGTTTTTTAATTATTTCAGTTGTTAGTATTTGTTTATGGTCCGAATTGTTGAATGTTTTCACGGCGAAGATTTAAGATTAAAATATTTTCGGTTATCATCAAGACAATATTGTTATAATAATATAGAATATAACAATAATTATATCAATAATAATAATTAATAATATTTATAATTGATTTTATTATTACGTCTTTATTATTATTGCTGTTAAAATGTTGTGTATGTGTTCATTTTTGAATTGTCATCGTCTCGTTATTGCGTTGCTAAATTGAAATGCGTGAAGTATATCTCTATAGCGTGTGTGTTTGTGTTTTTGGTGTGTGTTTGAAAATATCTTCAAATATTTTAAATAAGCACATGCGTTTGTGTGTGCTTGTATGTGAGTTTGTATATTTTTTGCGTTAATGTATGCTGGTGTAAATATTTGTAAAATTCTGCTCAAGCCTAATTTGTAAACATGTTTTAATGTGATTTAATGTAAAAAAGGTGTTCCTTCGGTTTAACTCGTCATTAATTATTCAATGATTTTTTATTTTACATACTCCATAATATTCTTTTAACATTCAATATTTTCAATTAGTTAACTAAAGATGCAATTGAGAAAAATTTTTTAGATGAAATGTTTGAGAAAGTTGCTTTGAATGGCGTCACCAGCGGAAAGATAAAGAAGCGGGAATGTTCAACGGCGTTTGAGGACACAAAAGAACATGTAACCAGGTGTTCATTTTACGATTTAATAAAAATTTTATTATTTCCTCACACACACTTTCATTCATTTACTTGTCAATTCCTTCAAACGTTCATCCACCAATACAAACTTTCTTTCTCCACCGATGGACTGAACAGTTATTGGACGAACAAATTGAACGAACGAATGAACAATGATCTCGTTCCTCCACTTGTTCATCCCATTGAAAAATTAAATTATAATCATAAAATAAGTAATGTAAGTATTGAAATGTATATGATCTTCCATAGACATTTAAGGAAAATTTTTAAAATTAAGAATATTATTTTTATTTAAGTTTGAAACAATTGTTATTTTAGTCATGTTATTTGTTAACTACTCAAGCACTTGAGATACAAATTAAATATATTGCAATAAAAACAACAAAACCAACACTAACAACAACAACAACACAAACAACAGCACAATCAACAAACTCCCATTAAAAATTCTCAAATATTCCATGTTCACGCTGGTGACGTTAAAAGCAGCCGACAAACAAAAAAGTCAAAAAGTGAAACAGCAAGCCATTTGATGACGTCACAGAGCCATGATGGTGATCGTCATCATTGCAGACGTCATCAACGTCCACGTGATCTGGAGTGCAATCATTATCAGTACAGCTATTGGAATGGTTGGCGATATGCTTCAATTTGGGAAAAGTGCAACAAACATGCAAGTGGCAACATCAACAGCTTAGATAACAACAACAATGACGACAACAACAATAACAACAAAAACAAAAATGTAAAATGGCAACATCACTAA